CCCCCCCGTTTTTTCGTGAGTTTTGTGAGTTTTTTTTTGGCGATTTTGGATTTTGTTTTTGCTGCTGTTGTTCCGCGCAGGAAGAGCTTGCGTCCGCAGCGTCCACCCGGAAGCAGCATGAGAAGAGGGCACACCAGCAGCAAGAACAGCTCAAGAAGACAGAGGTGGGCAGGATTACCGTAGTCGACATTGTATCACTACCGATTTCAAAGCCCGATTCCTGCAGAGCAGAAAGAGAGCGGCAGTACCGAAAAATACGGCGACGTTCAAGCCGTCTTTTCTGCCTCGTCGAGAGGGAGCTTTCCCGACAGTTGTTCGGCTTTATCCTTGAATTTTTATCTTCTTCGTCATGGAGTAATGGAGCTTTGAAAATCGGTCCGGGGGGTGCGGTGTGTTGTGTCATGTCACCTACGGTAAGCGATATTGTTGTGTGTATGGTGTTTTCTGCTGTTTATGTAGTGTGTGCACATGTGCTTGCCGTGTCTACCTTAGCCCGGTATTTTTTGCGTTCCTTGCATGTATTTCGTCGCGGTTTTGTTTGTCTATGCTTGGTCTCCCGGCTTTTCTCTTAGGAGTAAGTTCGCGGTACGGCCGTTCACTCCCTTTCCTGCCTTTCCTACGGATTGGGACAGTTTCCCCTGGTTGCTCACAGTGGAAACAAACCGTAAATGGGCAAGTGGTATGAGGGTAGCGAATGTCAGCCAGCCCACCGGCTTGACACTTTCTCCGCAGATTAGCATCGGCTTGCTCTTACCCTGACTCCTCCCGCCACCTCCGCGGTCTCCTCCGCCGCGGCCGTAATAGCGCGGGGCGCCATGTAGGCTCGCCCCTCTGCCTGCGCCCCTGTCGAAACGTTGAAGCCCCCTGCCGCGCGATCTTCCTCTCGACGACTGCGGTTTTGTGACGTCGGACTTTGGCTGATATGCCCTCCCCCCGGGAGATCAGAAGTGGGCTACAGGCGGGAAGTGACATCGATAGGATAGTGGGAAACATTTTTGAGTCACCTTTGGCAAAGTAGGGAGGAACGATTGGCCATCGGTGATCGGTTCAGCGGGAACAATGCTCCGTCCCCTGGAGGACGCGTGGTCAATGGTTCAACAACTGACGCATGCAAAGCATACGAGCTCCCCCCCCGGGCGCCTGGCGTTGTACGGTTGCGAGGTCAATGGTCTAACGCTTGCATCCGGCTATCACCCCCGGTGGCGCCTTCCCGCCCCCGGGCCCTTTTTTTGTATCGTTTCACCATCCTCGTGGTGATGCTGCTGCTGCTGCTGCTGCTGCTGCTGCTGAAGGCGGCCCTGTCAGGGTCGGAGGCGAGCATGGCGGAGCTGGTGGAGGGTGCGCGGCGGGATCGCGAGAAGGCGGCAGCCGCGGAGAGGGGCGAGGCCGAGGCCAAGAAGGACGGCGAGAGGTGACTGAATGACTGAATGACGTCAACAGAGGTCGCTGACTGACGTCATAATGATCTCGCTGGCTGAAGTCATCATGATGCCGCAGCAACAGCTTGTTTTTTTGTTTCTCTCCGCCTGTTGTCGAACTCCAAGGAAGAAGGGCGTTTGTTGTTTTGGCACTAAACGCCCACGCATTCTGCTGGTGAGAGATGCACTGAGTGAAGTGAATTTTGATTTGTGTTTGCTCTCTATCTCGAAGAGCGGGTTGGGTTTGGTTTTCATTATGTCCGCGGATCTTTCTGCTGTTGCTGCCGTGCTACTACCGCTGCTGCTGCTGCTGCTGTTTCTGCTGTTGCTGTTCGTGGTGTGCGGGTTGTCGCGTCAAACAGGAAGCGTAGAGCAACTGACCTGATGGCGTTAACTTTTGTCGTCTCTTGTCGCATGTGTTCTCCCGGCGTTTCCCTTGCAGAGAGCGTGCGATTCACACCTTCCTACCACACCATGTGGGCCGTGTTTCCCATTTCTTGTATAGCTGATAGCGGCGGCACCGGGGAAGACCAGTTCTCGAACTCCTCCCCCCTTGTGTGCTGCCACCCCCCTCCCTACCCCTCGTCTTCCCCAGCTATGGGCTCATCCTGTATTCACTCTCTGCCTGTCTTTTTTTTGTTTTGTTTCTTCTGGCACATACAGAAAGGAGAAGGAGCTCCGGGAGCAAATCGACGCTCTGATCGAACGCCAGCTGCAGGATCAGCAGAAACTCGCTGAGGTATGTATGAATATGCATGCATACCTACAGTGCTTTGATGGCGGGTGTCGAGAGTCCACCGCCGGGTCAAGGGTGAAGAACTAGCTGCAGTCGCGTGCAGCACTTCAACACGTCTCCTGTGGGTCCACCCCAGTGCTTTCATAACCTACCCATATATCTTACGACCATGCTAGTTTGTAGTCTCTCTCTCTTTCTGCAGTGTGCCGGCACTTGGATCTTTCCTCGCTCGTTTTCTCTTGTAGAGCCGGCGCAATACATGATTAACTTGCAAGGCGCGCCAGTCAGCCTAAGGCGATATTATCACGCCGTGAGGCCGACCAGTTCGTTTCCGCCTACACGGCGGCCACGAGCAAGATAAAAAAGATTGTGCTCTCTCAGCCCCGTTCCGTTGTGCAATCCTTCGTGGCAAATGACCTCACTATCTTCGGTTGTCTTGATGTGCGTGGACAGATCGCGGCGGAATCTAAGTCGTGGAGCTCCAAGTTCGAGGACGGCCAGCTAAAGGCCGCGGAGACTCAGGCGAATGTGTTCTCCCTCACAGCGCAGTTGAAAGACGTGAGTTGGGGGGCGCACTGCTGCTGTGCTGTGTTTGCTTTGCTGGAATGTTTTTCTCCCCTCGTTGCGCCGCAGTTGAAATACGTGAGTGGTCGGCGTGCACGGTGCTGCGACCGTTGTTATGGTTGCAAGAGCACCTCGCACCGACAAAAAAACGCGTGTTCGCTGTATCTATACAGGCTCAGGAGGCGGTGGAATCATGCCGAGCCAAGCTGGCGGAGGAGGAGGCCGCCTCCGCAGAGGCGAAGCGGGCGAGGGCAGAAGCCGAGGGCGAGCTCGCGCGGAATAAGAATCAGGTGCCTCATCACCCACACCATGTAGTCTACAGGCGTTGTCTCGTTCGTGTTTTCAGTTTTTTTTTTTTTGGGTAGCTCGATCGTTTTCGCGTGGTCTAGCCATTTCCCGCCCACCATTTTTTTTGCTTCTGCGACTTTTGTTTCGCTTTTTCTTTCGTCTTTGTCCCACAACACTCACAGCTGGAAGCCGCGGAGACCGGCCGGAAGAGCTTGCAAGGCTGTGCGGACGAGGTTAAGCTCCTGTCCGCGGAGCTTCAGGAGCGCAAGGTGCGGCCGAACGACGTCGCCGTCGTTGAAACGAGAAATCTGGACGGCCTCCTTGTGTAGACCGTTCAATCACTTCCTTGGTACCCTCTGCCCTACGGTTTGATACCAGCCGTTCATGGCTTCGTTCCACGCTCCAAAGGACGGCATCTACAGTACCTACTCAAGAACATGACGGGTTTGTGTCTCCAAGCACGTGCCCCAACACCTTCGGTCGCTCTTGAAGTAGGCCGTCCTTGAAATCGCCGTAGATTTTGACAGTGCTGTGCGGAGGAGGGCGGCAGTAGCAATGAACCTGCGGGGAAGTACGGCGGCCTGAGCGATTGTTGCCTCCGCGCGAATGCTCAGATCATGCAGAAGGCTACGTACTTTCCATTGCGGGCAAAGACAGGCCCAGATGACCCGAACACCAAGGTCACGTAAGAAAAGAAAAATAGTCCCGGACTTTCTCGCGGGGTTCTTAGAATGGCGGCCCGCCTGATGTGAACACCCCCCCCCCCCCAGTTTTGGCCTTAATCCGGGACCGCTTTGTTCTCTACCTTACCCCCCCTTCTCCTCACAACGCCTCTTGCGCCCCTCCCTCTCCCTCTCCTGTGTTCCCCTCTGAATGCCTTCGGTGTCTGTCGAGAGAGCAGGCGACCTCGTCTCGGACGAGCAAGGGTCTTGAGCAAGCCCTGTCGGATCTCGAGGAGGAGAGGGTCGCTAAGCGGAGGGTCGCGGAGGAGCTGTCGAAGCTCGAGGGCGAGGTCGGGGTGCTTCGATCCGAGGAAAAGCGCGTGAAGGTGCGGTGTGATGCGTACGCGGGTGGTGTGGTGGTTGCACGGGAATTGTATTATCTTTGTGTCATGAACGATGACACCTGTCATGAACCGTGACACATATGTACGGTACGGGCGCTTGCACCAGCGGTGGGCGGTGTTGTGGTCGTCAGAGAAGCGTGCCTTGCCTGGTGTCAGGTGTCAGGTGTCAGGTGGTGGGGGGGTACTCCTCTCGTGGACGAACTGGAGGGTATGGAGAGTGAAAGGTGGTTGGCTGCTTGCTTTTGATGGCGGCGTGCCTTCGCGAAGCCTCCAAACGCAGGTGCCGACCTCTCTTTCGCCGTGAGTGAAACACGCGGATTCCCTGGAGCAAGAACAGTGCACAGCACCCACAGCAGCGCGAGACAGGGTAAAACACGAACGCTTCATCCACAGGACAGGCAACCACCACCACTGCTGTAAAGTGCCACCCAAAGAGCAGCGGCAGCACCGGCGGTCGCCAACATCCGTGATCTTGATTGAACGTTGCCGCTACGTTTTTCTGGTCGGTTGGGGTGGGCTTTTGTCTGCACGCGCAGAACCTACTGGAGGAGGCCGCAGCGTCCGGCACAGCCGCGAAAGCTGACTTGAGCCGAGTAACCGTGGAGCTGGAGGAGAGCCAGAAGACGACCCGCGCTCTCCAAGCAGAGGTATGGTGTGGGTGCTTTCTGCGTTCGGTGTGTTCCAGGCCTCTGAAAGAGGGGGAATTATGGCCGGCTCCTTGTTTTTGGGTTCACCGAACATTATTCGCCTCTGCGCATAGGCACAGATATGTTCTGCACGCGGTAATTGAGCACCTTAAGAAATGCCAGACGTCCCCCTCCTGGGCCACCGGCTTTTCCGGACTATTTTTATTTGTCGTCGATTTGGCACGCCAGGACGGCTTTTGTGGCCATCCGTTGGTGATGGCACTCATCGTGCTTGTCGTGGAAGGGTAGACTAGGTTGGTTGGAAAGCTGATGTCGTCGTTGACAACGATTCAGCTCTCTCTCTCTCTCTCGTTCTCTCCCTTTTCCTCTTCCTCTCTCTCTTCTTCTCTCCTTCTCTGGTTCTCTCTTTCTCGCTCTCCCTCTCTCTCTGGGTGTGTGGACGCTAACCCTCGTAACATCGTAGCCGTTTCTTCTCCTTCCCGCCGCCCGTTTGTGTAGCTCCAGGAGGCGAGGCTGGACCTAGAAGTCAGCAAGAATCGGAGAGACGGCGTCAAGGGAGAGGCTCGTTTCATCGGCACCAACTTGAAGGCAAGATCCGCGTCTATGGTTTAGTGGCTGATGCTCTACGCACGCTCGTTGACGTGCTCTACACACGCTCTTTACGTGCTCTAAGCAAGCTCTTTGCGAGCTCTACGCACGTTCTTGACGTGCGCGTGGACTTCTGCTTCAAGAATACCTTACTGCCTTGGCATGCACGCGTCTGCCTATTCTCTCGTAGGTCGTGTGCTCTTGGTGAGTAGGTAGTCCGTTTAGCAGTGTCCTCCCGCGGTGGTTTCCCGCACCGTGTTTTCATGTTATCCCGCACCATGGGTCCATAATTTCCCCCGTCACTACAGGAAAGTCAGGCCTCTTGAATACCGAACCACTTACCCTCGCTCTCCTCGCAACCTGTGTACCCACGTCTCCAACAATTTTTTGTTTGGCCTTCCCGAACGGCCGTCCCCTGGAAACCCACCACCCCCCTGGCGGCGTTTTTCCCTCCTTGCAGAAAGCGAAGCAGAAGGCGCTGGTCCTGAACAAGGAGCTGATGGAGCTGATGCAGTACCTGGACGTCCCGGTGGGCAACATGTTGGCCGACAGCCAGGGCGCGCCCAGCCTGGGTAAGATTGTTGGGGAGCCGTGGGTTGTTTCTCGGACGAGCGCGCGTCGTCGTCGCCGTTGTGTAGGTGTGATTTTTTTGATTATTAGCATCGGCCGCGCTAACCGACTGACCAATGAAAAGACGTCAGTCTCAGTGCGGTTGAAAACACGAAACACTTGTAAATACCAATAGCTGGGACCCCGTGTGTATGTGTGTGTGTGTTTGTGTGTGTGTTTGTTTTTTGCATGAGTGTTCTCGGTCTGGAGTCCATGTGGGGCAGGGTGTGTGTGTGTAATAATAGTCGTTTCATGCCGTAGTCGTTTGACCATTGACCATTGGGCAGGGGGGGGCGTTATTCGCACCGACCGGCTGGCCAATGAAAATACCCCGGTCTCAGTGCGGCTGAAACACACGAAAGTTATTCCATCGGCCATGATCTGGGACCCCCTGACGTGGGGCCAAAGAGGAGGCTACGTCATTTCTCTCCGGCCTTAAAGACAGAAACGGCAGCAACGTGTTTGTGTGTGTGTTTTTGTGTTGCTTCGATTCGCGTCGACGGCGCTAGATATCGGGCCGACACCCGCGAAATACGCTGCTTCAGTATTGTAAGCGGGACCCTAGAATGGGGAGAAGCTGTCCGTTGGGCGTGCCTGTAGAGAGGTCTATATAGTTTTTGGTGATGTGGCGGGCCGGGAAGGGGTTGGAACATGTAACGGGGTGAAAATTTTGCATGTATGGGTTTACTTTTCGGCGTGTGTTTTGTCATGTGCTTGGTATTATTTCTCTCCATAGGGAATTTGGCTCGGTGTGTTGATCGGTGGAGGTGTCGTCTTGAGTTTGGGGGTCGAAAAATGCCTCTGCAAATCCGAACGAGTCTCCCCAATCCGTGAAGGAAATGTAACCTTGCCTCGCAGGGCGCCCTGAGACGTGGCAATCCCTCCCGCTGGTGTCGAGTAAACCGTATGTAGGGCACACGTGGCCGCCGAAAACAAAGAGACACGTTCCCCGAACCCAACCGACTGGAGTACACGAGATGATGATGTTCCCTTGGTATCTTCCCACTCTCTTGTCGCCGCTATGCGTACGTTCAAACGTGCGCCATCGCTTCGCCGAACGAACCTTTCACTTGCTTCCTTCCTTGGACGACTTGTTGGCAGGCGACCCGACCGTTGACGACGCCATTGCTAACGGCGGCTGCGGCAGCCACGGCAGCCCCGACCCTAACGGAAACGCCTCCGGCCACGGCCTGCGGCCAGCCGACGGCAACAACAGCGGGGCCGACAGCCCTGCACGCTCGTTGGGGAACGAAATGGACGAAGTGGAGCGCTTGGACGCGACTCAGGTAAGCCCCTCTGGCACGGGCGCTGCCGCTGCCGGCGGCGGTGGCAAGGGCAACGGCCCATCGTCCGGTGCCACCGATGCTGAAGGCGAAGGGACTGCCAACGGGGGGTCTTGTGAGGAGGACGGAGGTGTGGCACCTGATGCTGGTGCCGGTGGGGGGGACGCAGATGAGCAAGATGACGACGAGGACACCGACGAGGAGATGCACAACACCCAGGGGGATGAAGAAAGGGGCAGCGAGGAGGCACCCAAGGCGCGCGCGCAGCCGAACGGAACGGCGGAAGTCTGCGCGGACGAGGACCAGACGGCGGGGAGGGACGACGGGGGCGACAGCACTCGAGATGAGGGGAACGAAAACGACGAGGAGCAAGGGCAACTGTTGCTGGGCATGGAGAAAGAGAGCGGCAACGGCAGCAGCAGCAGCAGCAGCAGCAGCAGCAGCGGCAGCGGGACGAGCACCTTCGGCAGGCCGCCCCCGCCTCAGCCGGCCTCCCTGCTGCCGCCCTCGGCGGCGGACGATCCTTCTGCCGGGCAAGAAGTAAGCCTGTCGGGGCCCGCGGCGGCGGCGCCTCACGGCGCGGTGAGGCTGGACCAAGGCTTCGGAGACGAAGACGAGACGGAATTTACGGTCCCTCCGCTTGACTTCGGCCGCGGCACTAGGGGAGGTCCCGCGGAAGGGGTGGACCAGGCCGGCGGAGGCGGCGGTACCCTCGTGTCGGCCGCTCCGCGCGAAGATAACGGGGTCGCCGGTAAGGCTGTTGTCTCGAGCTTGTGTTTGGGGCGCGGGAAGGGGAGGGGGTGCGGTGCTTTTGCACACCGTTCGGTGCGTGATTGTGTTCGGGCGGGAGGGCGGGCGGGATACGTCAGGTGGTACGGTCCTTTGCACCCTGTCACCCTGTCGTTTTCCGCCGATGGGTATCCAAAAGCATTCGCTTCTTTTGGTGCAGCGATTGAAAGTTGGATCGCGGAGTGATGGTTTTGCCTCGATGTTTAGTAAGAGCGAATGCCAGTCAAAGCTAAGCCCGTACCACTCCATTCCGATGGCTACGGGTGGTAGGCTGTGTGTCTGTTGTGTGCTTGCTCGACTTGTATCACTATTTCTGCTCACTTTCTCACCCTGCTGGTGTGGTCCCGCCCCTCGTTGCTCGTATCTCCTCTTGTGTTCTTGGTCTTTGCTGACTGCCTGACGACTTGCTCGGCAAAGAGCAAGAAACCGAGCTGCTCACGGTGTCAGAGCTGGAGCAGCAGATGAGCAAGCTGGAGGATGCGGCGGTGAGAGCAGAACCTATGAATGTACCTCTTACGCTCCAGATGCCGTACCCCCGCTCACCCAGACAAACGGACCTGGTCACACTGTTTCACACGTACCTCGGGCACGTTTGTTCGGATTCCGTTCCCTCCCCACCCCCGCACATCCAGACGAACGGATTGGTCACACTCTTTCATACGTACCTCAGCAGGTTTGTTCGGATTCTGTTTCACGGACGGGTCACACTGTTTCACACCTTCACGGCACCCACCAAAGTATTGATCTCTATTTCCAGCTAAAGGTTTTGCGAAAACGTTGGACACTCGCAGGAACGAGTCCTCCATTTCGACAGCACACGTCGAACATAGTTTCCAACTGCACACCCTCCACCAAAATTTCAGGACCACCCCGTCCATCCCACACGTCTCTCTGTTGTAACCCTAAACCCGAACTACGCAAAGCCCGCCCCACATGCTCTGTGTTTCGCTTCGCGTCTCCCCCCTCCAAGCAGCCCGTTGGTAAGGAGCAGGATGGTGGTAAAAAACGCCCGAGGGACGAAGGGCCTGATGTCGGAGTGGAAGAGCGGCCGCTCTCGTCAGAACGAGACAACTTAGGGGCGCCCGCGGACAAGAAGGCCCGGGTGCAGGGAGGGGGTGATGGTGGTGAGCGAGCGGCACAACTTCTACGGCTTCCCGGAACTTATATTCATAGTGTTCAGTACACCACTGGTAACTCTGACTCGAGCACAGTTCGTGCCACAATTTCTGAGCGCCGTCCGCAGCCGCGTTCAAGTGGATGCCGCACTCGCGTGGGACTTGAAGGGAGAAAGCTGGAGTTGCTCTCGAAACCATCCACCTCTACCACGATCACGATTGCGAAACATGCGCGTATTGCGTTCGTTCCCTGCTGTGGCCCCCATTCTTGCTTGTTTTGTCGCGAAGCCTTGCGTTGTGCGCATGCTTGTCTGCGCTTGTTTGACTCATCTCATCCAGCGATATGTACATGCTTATGCTTCGATGTGTTGCGGTGGATCAATCACGGAGAAGAGGGTTCTTCAGACGACCGAGAAGACCAGAACCAGCGGCACGCGAGGAGCGGGAGCTACGCCGTTGACCAGCTCGCGGACATCGCCGCCGCGCACCACTCCTCTATGGCAAGCGTTGCGGGCGCCGGGGCTGGCGACGGAGGACTTCTCGGAGACGGAGAGGGTGCATCCGCGTCGGAGGTGAGACGAATACCGCGGGGAGATGGCGGCGGCGACGACGATGCAGGAAGAGAGATGGGCGCAGACGCCGGCGGGAGCGAGGAGGAGGGGGTGGCAGGGGAGGAGGAAAAGTTCGCACCCGACGTTGACGACGATGACAGCGACGAGACTTCCGACGAGAAGGGGTACTGATGCACTGCTGTTGGGGGAGCTGCTGCACTTGGGTTATTGGAGAGCAAAAGGGGAGCGTGGCGTGTGACGCCTCTAACAGACATCGTAGGCGGCCGTGTCTCTTTTCGCGTCTCGTCGTGCTCTCACATTCTCTGGAAATGTTTTAGTGTGTTCGACAGCAAGAAGGTCTGATCCACTGCTGTTGGCGATGGTGTTAAGGAAGCTGCTGTAATTAGGCTACTGAAGAGTGAAATGGTTAGAGGAGAGCGTGTGACGCCTCAAACAGACACCGCAGGCGGCACTGATCTTTTCGCGTCTCGTCGTGCCCTCATGTCCCTCGCCGGAAAAAATAGTATGTGCTCTTTCTTGGTTGAAGAGAACTGCAATGGGTTAGACGTTGGTTTTTCCGAGCAGTGCCGACTGCGGTGGGTTTGCTAGTTTTTATTCTCCTGCGCATGGTAGCCAGCGGGGTTTTCTCTCGCTGTGTTTAATGAGCGTTCGACATGTCGGCGTGTATGGTATGACCTTTGGTGCTGCATCGATGTGTAGAAATTTTACTTCGGTTCAGTTGTTTTACTAAAGCACGAATGCGTGCCACAAAAATTGATTCTCCGACGAGTTACCGCAGAATTGCACGTCCGCTGATCTTTAAAAGCGGGATTGGTTACCCTAGGATGACGAACAACAACTCGAAGTACTCTAGTACTAGCCTTCGCGGCGAAGCTCGTCTCCCTGATCTGAAGAGTATTGCTTCATGTTGGGTGATCATCACGAGTGTCTTTGTCCTCTTGAACCTTCGTGAGTTCACGCAGTAGTCTCTTCATGGAACGGGGCGATTGTTTCTTGCCCTCTATCCCCCCGATGGCGTCGTACCCAAGCGTTTGGTGGTGGCGCCGCCCTAGGGCTGTTGCATGGTATCAACCTGCTTTGCACAAATGTGCTTGGTCGTCTAGGTCGTCCGGATTTGGTTGTTGGAGTCTTGCAACGGGCGGTGTGTGAAAGCATATCTGTCTCCTTCTGGACTCCGGGGGTGGGTTTGACTGTCCCGCTAGTATCCGAAAATTGTTATGCGGGTCTTTGTGGGGAGCGCGGGGTAGGCGGCGCGGCTTGTTGGTCAATACGGTAGACACACGTTTGAGGCACGCCTGGGGCCGATATTGGGGAACGCGTGCACGAGTTGTAGGACTCATCTCCACGTGGAGTCGATTTTGTGCACGCGGCTGCTTCATGTTTTAAATTGTTCGTGGTCTGTATATGTTCTCGGTGTAAATTGAAGTTCGCATTTTCTTCTTTCATCACCCGAGATTCGCTCTGCAGCGTGACGGTCATGACCGCTTGTGACTTTAACAACGCCAACACCAACCACAACTACATGAATTTGTGAGCACACACATACGTCCCCAAGCGTATGGATTTTGGCCTTCGGCATGGCATGGCTTACTGCGATTGATTCCGGAAGGAAAGTTAAGCTAGAACAGTTGTGGCCGCGTTCCCAAGTTTTGCCGCCGTGCGACTACGAAGAGTATCCGCCAGCGATGGAATGGGTTTTCCACTTAACCGTTTGTGCACGGTTGCTTCATGCTTTTTTTCTCGCGGTCGTCTACCGTGTTCTCGGTTGAATTTCACTTGTCAGCTTGAGTTTGCGTGCGGATATATTCCCGAGATTCACTCTGCAGCATTCTGCGAGTGTGGCGGCGATGTCTGCCTGGGGTTTTACACAATATCACAACTCCTTTCATAGTGGGCACACACGACGCAGAGATACGTCAGGAAGCAGGTGCCTGTTGTGGCCTCTTTCCCAAGTTCTGCCATGATGCGACTACGAAGAGCCTCCGCCACCGAGGACATGGGTATTCCACCAACCATTGCGCACGGCTGCTTCATGCTTGTAATTTAGTGTTCCGGCTGTGTTCTTGTTGAACTTCAACTTCTTATCTCTTTACCACTTGAGCGTGTTTCATCATCCGAGATTCACCCCACGGCATTCTACGAGTGTGAGACCAACCACAGCTGCATGGATAACGGGCACATACACACATCACAAAGCGGATACATTTTGGTGTTCAAAATGATACTTGCATCTCGCGATTGATTCAAGAAGGAAGGCAAAACTAAAAAATCTGTGTCGCCGCTTCCCCAAGTTCTGCTACCATGCGACTGCGAAGAGCCTCCGCCAGCGATGGCACGGGTTTTCCACCAACCGTGGCGGTGTTGTCTGGGGGGCACGGGATGCCTATCTTGGACAAGGCCATCTCCGCACCGCTTCCTCGAGTGATCTTGCTTGAATTTTCGATGACGGGTTCGATCTCGGGAACGAGAAGACTGGAGACTGGGGCCACTACTCGCCCGGTTCCTGAGAAACCACGCGAAAATGATCGAGTCAGGGCTTGTTGAGACTATTCCGGGCAGCGGTGAATCCGGTCTTCTGTATCAAGACCTACCGAACGCCGTCCGCGGAGTGAATTTCTCGTACCACGTGGTCTACCGGAAGAGCGCGAGCACACAAACAAACGCTCTCCGCTCTTCGACACGTGACGCGGGAGACAGGTTCATGTCGTCGATATCACAGCGTCCGTACTCGCGTCTTCCGCTTATGATGCCCATGATATGTTTCACCTCACACCAGCGTGCACACCCATGCACCTCATGCGCGTACACGAGGGCCGCGGTCGTACCCTCCTCTTTTACCTGTCAGGAACGCCTCTCGCCAGCGACCAGCCCTGGAAATATCGGGAGCGTCAAACCGGACTTCGATTCCCTCTTTGTCGCACACCGAGATCAAGAGTTGGCGCATCCCTCCCAAGAGCACTCCCGATGGCGCTGTGCTCACTGCTCCATCTTCCTCCACGACGAAGAAGTTGGAGGTTAGTCCTGATTTGTGCGGGGGGGGTGGTGTTTAGCGCCGGGAGGCGCTCCATACCCTTAGGGTTTGGGATTGTGGGTGAACATTGATCCGTTCGATGGACCACGTCTCGCGGCAAATGGCGACCATGACGTCAGTGCGGAATCAGGTGGCGAGGCTCGGTAAAGACGAGGCAAGCACCGGGGATTGAGGACGACCTTTGGTTCAGGGAACGTTGGAAATGTCCACGCTTGTGACAACCTTCTCACGCCTCAATCGGCGCTGAAAACAAGAGCAGAGTAGCTCAGTCCCAGTGGGCGGTGTGATCATGATGAAGTGGTGTACAGTCGAAGGACTTGTGCGCTACGAAGAAACAAACGATAGCAGCATTTCCAGACCTTCTAGAAGGAGTCTCCGAGTAGTCCCCTCAGGTGAAAACCCGATCTCGGACAGCACTACCTCCTGTGCACCTGTCTGCGAAAAAGGGTCGAACCGGGTGTCAACAAACAACTGGTACAGGGATGATATACCAGAGACTGTGGGTGAACCGGCAATTTGCGAGCAACCCTGTGAAGTGAAACCCAGCAAGACTGCTACCTTCAAAAGCATCAAAAAACCTTTTGCTGCGAATGAGTCTCCGAGGCTCGGTCTTGTGAGGTGCCACGGCCAGGTGCAGTCAAGAAAAAGATATACCACGTACCAACAGCAAGACACATGCCATGCACGCACATCACTGCAGAGACTTCGAGCCGCACAAAGAGATCACACGAGACAAGCTCTAGCACCGGGCGCCGCGTCTGCACCATGAAGAGCGCCCCCGCCTCACCTACTTGGGTGAATTGTTGGGGTGCTCTGTGTCAACTAGCTTACCGTTCAGATAGCACGTAACACCCACACGTTTCTAATTCGCCACTCCACAAAAAAAAACCTTACCTGAGCTTTGAGCTCTTCCAGTCGTTTCCTATCTCGCAACCAGCTCGAGTGCTTCGCTTTTGGCAACGATCTCCCCGATCCGGCAATGAGCACCTTCACTCCCGCGGGCCTTCCATCCACCGGGGGCGTGGGCAAAGGCCAGGCATGCGCCATAATGCATATTTCACGGTCTTTCGTCGGTCTGGCTGCCCCTTTTCGTGGACGTTTCGACGTTCTGGTACCCGTGAAGGCTGTCGTTCCTCCGGGTTGGTCATCGTCTGACAAGCCCTCGCCTGCGTCTTCTTTGCCAAGCCTGCGGCGGTGCGTGTACAAGACTGTCGTCATGCACTCTGGGCAGCCGCCGCCAGCGTTCTCTGGTATAGCCGGCACACAAAATCAGTCGATAGCAGAGGTCAGAGCCGCGACGCCGGCTCTTGCCGGAAGAAGGCGGTGAGCGAGGAGCTACGGAGGATTTCATAAAAAGTACCAGGCTTTTCGTGCTGGTACGGTCTGTTTTTCTCTACGGGAAACGGCCTAGGCACCTACCTGGTTTTTCTACAACGTAAATACCTTCTCGAAACGATTCGGTCACCCGAGCGATGGTCTCCACCGTCTCCTGTTCCAGCGATTGCCGACCTTGCGCCCTAGCCGCGGGTCCAAAACCGGTGGCTTGAGAAGACTGCCAGAGCCTGTCCAGATGAAACGGCAGCATGGCCACCGACCGATGGTCGACCGTCCTCAGGCACGTGTACGGGCCTGCGAATAGGAAAAGAGTGAGTGTTATCGCGCCATACGCAGCCGACGACCTTCAAATCGCAGCTGATCATCAGGTAAGTTGTGCCCGAGGTCTGACTCGCAGAGACGTTCCTCAAGATACAACGACATATGCTGTAGTAGTTCATTAGCAGTCGTCATCACCCCTGTTAAAACTGCTGACCGCTGTTCATATGTGCACTGTGTGCAGACTCTTTCAACGAAAATAAGGGGTTGTTGGTGCATGATGTCGCGTTTTGTGACGCGGTTTGCATACGATATTATCGCACGCAGAGTAGCGGCTATTTCGTGCCTCGAAACAGGAATCATTCAGCTGCATTGTGCATGTACCTGGAGGATTGGCAAGAAGAAACTCTTGCGGTGAAGAAAGAGGGCCTCCTGCAGGACATCGACGGACCTCGGGCTCGCCGCATGTCGCCCACACGCTTGTTGCGGTCGTGCTGGACATTTCCAGCTCGGTACCGCCTCTGTTGTGGTCTGCTTCTGCTGGGCTCACGATAGAAATACAGTTTCTGCAGCAGCAACGGGTTGATAAGCATATTTGCAACTCGAGTGGATTTCGCCGTCGGAATCTCTGGGTCGCTGTCGGTAAGTACTGCTGTACGCGTTCCCGGTTCACACGTTTCCCGAGGGGGTCAGCAGACCACACTACAGCAATAGGTTACATTTATGTGGTACGGTTGGGGGGGGGTCGACAACGCCGGTTGATAAACGCCGGTGGCCCTGAGTAGCGCCGGTGAAATTGGTGGACACAGACTGAATCACCAAGTAGCGCCGTTCCCTCTGAATATCGCGGTCGATGCGCAGGGCACGTACCGGCGCTATTCCCCACACTACTGCTGTACTCCAAATTGTATGACTAGACTACATTTTGAATCCGCACGAGTGTATTCCGAACTCGCGAGGAAAACACAACGCAGAACAACCGTGTTGTGTCATGCGACCACGCCATGCATAGTGATGCCCTGTGTTTCGTCTGCATGGAGAGACATGCCGGGCCTGCACGCACCTAAATCTGCTCCGCTTGAACCCACGAACCCACTCGCTCGCAGACAGCCCAATGCTGTCAAGATCACGAGCAGGGAACTCGAAACTCTGGCCTTGCAGGAATGCACTTGCAACAAAGCAGCACAATGCCCCTGCGGCAGACATCACAACCCGCGCAAAGCAGCTTGCGTGGGTGCTTTGTGATGATCCCAACGTGCCGCAACGCCGCAACAAAGAGGTTGGTCGTTGATCGGAGAAAGGGAGTTCCGCAGGTTCACTGGGCGATTTGGTTCGGGAGTTGGGGACACGTTTCGAAAAGCGGCGTGACGTTGTGACGTCATATGTCACATGGTATTGTGATGATTAGGCAGCGAGGTGGGGGGATTATAGAACTGCTCACCAGCCGGGCAGCGGCGGCTACTAGCGGAGAGGCAGTGGCGACCATGGTGGTCGCGGATGTCATTCTTAATAGTGGAGAGGCGTGAAAGATACTGCTGCAGCTGCTGTGGAAGATGCCGCCAATCAATATGCATGCGCGAATGAGAAAGCTACGCTGTAGACATGTGGACTAATGCCTCTCTCGGTTGGTCTAGAAGTGAAAAGCCCTTTGGCGGACCTTCACCTGGCGTGCTTTTCTCGGAAGGAACTTTTTGGTGCGGGGAGTCTCCTATCCGAAAGACATCCAAAAGATAGTGGCGCGCGGCATTGGCGAAGAATGAACAGACTGGCCGTGAATAAACGGGACCGTTGCGAGCGAGTAGCGGGGCTGACATCACTGCGCAACTGACCTGGGGAACTACAATGGCCCTTTGCGGATAAAAGAAAACGTCAATATCGGACCAACGCTTACTTTCTTATTTTCGTCGCCTCTACTGTCGAGCACAACAAGTTGTTGTACAGAGAGAGTTCAGTATAGGATTTACGATTTTTTTTTGTGTAAGAGCTTGTAGCAAGCATAGGATTTTAAGACGGTATGTATGTTATTGTGAATTGAGCACCTACTAATACCTGTACTTCACATGAGTCGAAAGTAGGTAGACGGCTCTATTGGTGTAAATATCATGCGGCGATTGCCCCCCGCCCCTCTGTCTATGTGTGTGTAGCAAGAAATAGACAACACGTAAACTGCGTCAGCGAGCATTTTCTTCGGCTCCTTTCTCTGCTGTACCGCTCTCCTTGTTGTTTGGATGGCCTCTGCTGTGGGTCGCCCCTCAGTCGTAGATTTTTCACAGCATTCCTTCTTGATCGATCGCGGCTTCAAGCGAGAGGAAGAGAGGGCGGGGAACTCTTTCTTGCTGTAGGGCGTGGCCAACGAACCCGTACCGCGCATCGGGAGGGCGAAGGGGAGGAGGTCGGTCGATCGCGCTGTCCATCCGAGAAGGGAAAATGCGCCATTTTCACGGGTGCGTGCGGTTCGTTCTGTTTGCACCACATCCCCCCGACCTCTCGGAGAGGTCGGTTGTTGTTTATGTTATTGTTGTTCTTTTCTTCACATATAAAATCGTTCTGGCCTCCCGTACCTTCTAATATCCTTGCTCTGGACCAACTGACGCGGACGCCTTCGTGGTCAAAGCCCCCTACTACCCAAACACGGGTGACCAAGGACACATTTAATATGTATTAGCCACTACGGCGGTGTAGGCTCTTGAGAGAGAAAACTACTCCACGCACCCGCGCGTAGAACGGACTAGATATACGAAACGCGCTCCTCCAACGACCTGACATCGCGGACCCCTCAATCGAAAACATAAAGCCAAGCGGCCCGGCACGGCTTGACTTTGCCACCACGTGTACCGATGCACAACCAACCTATTTTATGATACACTGAACCAAACCCCCAGCACCCCCAAGCTACTAGAATACCGTGGTACTGCTGTAGACGCGAGCACTCTACACTCTTAACCCCTTTGGGTCTAGGCTGGACTGTCAGATTTTTTTTTTTGCGCCAACTTGGCCCCAAAAAAAAAAAATGAGAGCGAGAGCGAGCGGGAGAGAGAGAAGTGCAGAGAAAGAGACCAGTGTACTGCTGCACACGCAACAGCTATCTCCACCTGTAGGCCATGAGAGAAGCCGGCGACAGGGTGGTGGCCACAGACAGGGTCGTAGAAGGGTTGGTGGGTGGTCGCGCTGCGGTCAGTAGGGCAGGTTAGCTGTGTAGCCTTTGAAATGATCAGTCGTCTAGCTGCCTCAACTAGTCTATTTTCGGTATATTGTAAATGATCAGTCCAGAGAGGGCAAAATGATCAGTGAAGACCCATAGCTGGTATTTGTACTTCTGTACTTCTCTGTTCTCTGTCCCCCCCCGAAATGTGCCCTGCCAACTCTCTAGAGCTCCTGTGTTTTTCAAACAACAAGCACATCCACCAGCACACACCTGTACCTCGTGGTTTCCTAGGTTCGGGCGAGGGTGGTATGTGTGGCGCTACGAGTGTGGATGTGTTGCTGATATGTTTTACTCGTCTACAGCAGTAGTAGTAGTGTTGTTGTAGCGTTCGTTGTAGCTGTTGACACAATGACTGCTGGATCTTGGGAACGATTTTCAAATTGTTGGGAACCACGATATCCTCGATATCTGGGCTTCGGCAGGGACTGCAATACCCCTCCCTTTTGCTGTCCTCTGCTCTTTGCAGCAGTGGCTTCCTACGTTCGGGCGAGTGTATGTGTGGTGCTTCGAAAGAACACATATATGTATGTATGTATGTACTGTATGCACACACGCGTTCATTGACATGTGCATACGTTGAGAGATTCATGATTTGGCATTGATTGGCCCCATTCCCATTCCCGTGACCTTGATGTTACCCGCTGTCACTGAAGTCTCTTCATTGGTCAGCCGGTTAGCGTGGATGCTAATAATCTAGACACACCTACCCTATGGACTTGCCAATATACGGCGCGAAGGGCTGCAGGGCGGCAACTCCACGACTTGCCACTACACCAGCATTTGCAAATGATCAATCAATGATCAGTGAGAACGCCTGAAGACTCAAAAGGGTTAAGTCATACAGAGCTACCACTTAGTATCTACTTCACCACGAGCAGCGCATACTTCTGATTAGTACCGCCCAGGGGAGATGCGTAAATATCTTAAAATCTCCCCTTGTCTCTGGTATACACAAACACGAACATAAGAACGCAACCTCCTCCGAAAAGAAAAGTCTAACTGCACACCTCGCCTACCGAACGGCTGCCGACAAAGACGGGTAAGACATTGAACATCCACCAGTAAATCGAGTTAGCTAATCCAAGCGAACCAACCGGAAGGCGGCATCCTAAACACGAACCAATAAATAAATCCGCGACAAAATAATCGGCAATTTTTTACCAAAGAGCGCCCGCAAGAAAACAACACTCTAGGCCTGCTCGCATTCTTCGGCGAAAAGCCTCCGCCGGCATACTGCACCGCCACGAAACCCGACCAGAAGCGGGGCAGACCAGCACAGACACCCTTGGAACGGGCGATCGTCAGCGCCCAGATGTCGCCGGTCGCGATACAACATGAGGTGACACAAAGAACTTCACCAACAGCCGCAAGCCACAACGACAACACAGGCAGCCGTCACATCCACGCGGGAAAAGGCACTATTATTTTTTATCAGGCGACGCCAACTGGGTCGGGTGCTGCCATGAAGGGAGACGTCCCCTCACACCCGAACACAAGAAGGGGACACGCTAGCCTTGGCTGCGAATTTGGAAAAAAACAAAAGACCTCGAAAATCTACCTACCTGACTGACGGTCTGACTGTATCTCTGCCTCTGTCTCTTTCCGTCTCTGTCTGACGCTCTCTCTGGCTGACACTCTCTAGTTGAATGTCTCTCTCTGTTTGACTCTCTCTCTCTCTCTTTGTCTCCGTCCACCTCGCGCCCTACCGCCTAGTTATCGGCAGGTGTACCAGCCGTCCCGGATACACCCCGCAACACGGGGTGGAACCCCACCGATGTGGTGTGCAATGTCGCTTTCCAACAGAAAACGAGGCGTGTGGCCACCACCGATCCCACTGTCATCATCCCCAAGGATACGAAAACCTCTCTTTCCAAGAGGGTGTACTGACTATGCCGAGGGCCAACTGTACAGAAAAGAGCGGTGGTGCTTTGCAACAAACTACGGCCGCATCCCCACGTTGATTCTGAAGTGCGATGCTGCCCCCCGCTGCAGCGCCGTTCGCAAGCCGGTCCCGCCGGGAACAGCTCTGTCACCTATCCGACCCCCTCTCCTCTTGTCCACCAGGTGAAGAAACAACGAACGAAATTCGCCGGAAATAGGCGACCACCGTCACTCTCTGTCCAGCTATCTAGTAGCCTCCAAAACGGACTCTAGCCGTTACGAATCTCGACCATGTGTGTTTACCCCGCCACTACGCTTCCCGGCCTACGCTGTACACACAAAGGCGGCGCTGCCCGTGAGCATAGTCTACACAAGTAGGGGAGGGGAGGAGCGTGAATAAAATGAGGGAAATACGACAAACCCACCACCGTCGTGTCGGGGCCCTAATCTACAACACCCGAGATCTTCAGCCAAAGCGAGCATTACCCTCCTCCGAAATGCCCTAACCATCCTCCTGCTCCCCCCCCCCCCCAACAAACTGGGGGCCGAAAGTGTTGGGGAGACCTCCCGCACTTTTGGCCCCAGGACCCCCCCGACCGCTGCGCAAATATTTACGTCACCATCGTCGATACAACCCCCCGCGCCGGACCGTTCGTTTCAAACAGACCGGCGGCGAGTCTCGTCGCTCGCTCGCGCAGCGGCGACTCGAAACGGCGTACACACACGGGGGGGGGGGTTCTAGCGCGATCGAGTTTAGGAGGACGTGGCCCCGCTGGATGGGGACCCTCACCCAGTCGGGCATTGCACTGCTTCGAGTCTCTTGGCAAACATGCTCATCGCCACCACCTGAAGAAAAAAAAAAATGGCAAGCGACACCGCGACCGAAAACAAAGGGGGATGGGGGTGCTCATGTTTTGCATGCCTTCGAGAGGACGGAGCACTGCTCCTCCCACAAGACCGATCACCGATGGCCAATCGTTGCGGTGGGGGGTTAGCTTGTTCGGTGGCATGTGCTATTGAGCAAACACTGCGACCTGCTGCTGACAGACAGGCGATTGGTCGCGGTCGCGGCCTGACAGCGGGGACCAAAGAGTCAGCTAGGTGGTAAAGCGACGCGATCTAGAGATAGCAACAACAGCAGCAGTAGCTGGGCACACCCATGACCTCGCGGGACGGCGAGCGAGACCTAGCGCTGTGAGAGAATTCAACAACTCTCACGTACCCCAGCAGGGGGACACAACACATTCCCATCAACTTTTTCCAACCCGCACGCGGTGGCAGATCCACCAGGCTTATGTGTGTACTGCTGCTGTCATGGTTTCGGTCGCCGATGTGCGACCGATACCCCCCAACACGCCCCTCCTTAAGTTTTCACGAACTCCTTGAAACGAACGGCGCCGCCACCGGCCCGACGGATTCGCGGAGTCCAACCGGAGTTTTTCTCACCGTCTTGACGGCAGCACGCAGCTTCCGCACGGTATTGAAAACCTTGAGCTGCTCCAGGCGCGCGCTCAGGTTGTGGCAGGACAGGTTCGGGGCGTCGGTGGTGAGCCAGGGGTGTTTGCAGGCCTCGCTCGCCGTCAATCGCTTGGCGGGATCGACGGTCAGTAGCTTGGTGATGAGGTCCTGCAGGCAAGAGAAGGAGGGGAAGAGAACAAAGAGAGAGCGAGAGGGGGTCATAGACGGAAGCAGCGAGAGAGAGAGCAACGCAGGTAAAAAGGCCGCGAGTGCAGCACCACGAGTTGCGCACAAACGCGCACAGACAAGGAAACACTTGTGCACTACGCGTAACGATTGCACAAACGCAAGCCTGCTTGAGGCTTCAGAATCAAACGCCGCTTCTTCGTGGGAGGAACCAACAACCAACAATTTTATTTTGATCGGTCTTCTGGGCTCTTTTCTCGACCGGTGCGGTAGCTGTTCTTTTCTTTTTATCATTTTGTTTTCTCTTCCGAGTGGTTTGTACCCTATTTTTGTGTTGTTTCCCCGCGGCGTCGTATGTGCCGGGTTTTTGGGACCACGGGCTCCCCATTTTTGTGGACTATACAGCTAATGCGAGAAACAAAAACAACAACAACAACAACAACAACAACAACAACAACAAATCGAAAACAACGGCACAACAGCACCGAACGCCCCCCCGGGTCCAGGCAGAGCGCCCAGCGATCCTACAACCAGCTAAGGCAGCGAGCTCAAGCTGTACCCAAGTCACTCTTTTCGGGGACTCCACAACAGCTGAGCTTCGCCCTCTAACCTGCTCTTTCCCGCGCACTCCCTCTTTTTTTGTTGCTAAAATAATATCCAGCTGAACGTGCCGCTCACACCCCGGCGGTGGCGGCGGCGGCAACGCGCGCGAAAAAAAACAAAGAGAAATAGCACCTCCTCGCTCACCTTAGCATCGCCAGAAATCCCCTGCCAGAAATCTCCCTTGAACTGGTATTCCCCGCTCTTGATTTTCCGGAACATTAACTTCTGGTCCCTGTCGTGGAACGGCGGCCTGCCGGCCAGCAGGACGAAGATGATCACGCCGACGCTCCACATGTCCACCGACTGTGGCGGACAGGCAGGAATAATAGCGATTTTTCAGGAGGGGGGCACGGGGAATGAAATCGGTTCGGCAGAGGATATACGTACGTTCTACGTTCACAGCTCGGCGGAGATAAAATTAGTTTGTGCTGCAACCGCAACGACAGGTGGCCAACAGCAAAAAACTTAAGTATAGCAAGCGTTCGAGGTAAGGACGCGGAGCGTGGGTGATGCCGGCGGGGGGCGTAGTTGCTTTCACGTGAATCCAAGCACTTCTGAGAGAGAAGGGACTACGGGAGTCCAGGATGGTAGGTGTCCGAGCGCTGGTGCCCGAACACCCGCCCAGAAAAGAAGCGGCAATTACACGCATAGCGTGCGGTGTGATCGACGAAAGCAGTCCTTGGTAAGTATTCATACTGCTGGTGGTGGTGGGACGCCCGAGACCCGGGAGGAGAACGAGGCGACTCTCTTTGTCCAGAGAGGCAAAAGGGGGCAACAAGGATAGCGAGCAGCAGCAGCGGCGGCGACGACGCACAGGCAGGGAGCAGCAGCAGCAGCAGCAACGGCAAACCACAACCCTACCCCATGGGCAAAAAATACGCCGCACTATTTCTTTGGCCACCGCAGCAGCAGCAGCAGCTTTAGCAGCTTCAGCAGCTTCAGCTTTAGCAGCTTCAGCTTTAGCAGCTTCAGCTTTAGCAGCTTCAGCTTTAGCAGCTTTAGCAGCAGCAGCAGCAACAGCAGCAACAACAGCGACACCCGGCTTTCGAATACGACGACGACGACGACTCACCGCGCCGTAGGGGACGTTCTTGAGCATCTCCGGCGCGACGTAGAAAGGTGTCCCGCACCCGTTGATGAGGTCGCCGTCACGGATGCTAGCGGCGAACCCGAAGTCGGCCAGCCTAATGCTGGTGGCATCGCTGGCGGAGGCCAGCAGCAAGTTCTCGGGCTTCAGATCGCGGTGTCTGCGGCAACGGGCGGCCGCAGCGTAATGGGCAAGCGGGGAATCGAGGTCGTTGAGGGTGCTGCAGCTGCCGACAAGAGAGCTAGCTGCGCTTCAGATCGCGGTACGGGATAGCGCTGAGGCAAGCGGGGAATCGGGGTCGTCAAATGGTGCAGCAAGAGGGCTGCGCTTCCCCTCCCCCAATCGTCGCTGCTCTAAAAAAATATGTCCCTTCGCTTTCGTGTTTTTCGGTGTCCTCGCCCCTGGCCGGCCCTACACGCCATTGGTCTCGCTAACTTATATTTCTGTCTCACCGACGGTGGGACAAAAACTCAAAAAAGGCCGGGGTACAAACGGGCAACGCATCGAGCGAGTGCCGAACGAACGAACCGCCGCGTTGCACATGTATGTCTTTTGTCTGCCTCACACGATGCCTTGGCTGTGGAGGTACTCGACGGCACGCAGGAGCGGCACGCAGACGTCTCTCGCCTCCGCTTCGTTGTAGTACGTCTGCGATGCGTTGTTTGGCCACGGCGGGGGGAGGGGCGGGGGGGGCGGACTCATGTTTTGCATGCTTCAGTGGGGGGGAGGCGAACTCTCATGTTGTCCGTGCTTCAGCGGTTAGGCCATTGGCCACGCATGCTCGAGAAGACGGAGCATTGTCCCCACAGGACCGATGACCGATGACCGATCGTTCGTTCCAGATACGGCGCGCGCGCGGGGGGGGGGGGGGGGGAAAAAAAAAAAA